CAAAAGCAGAAGTTTTCGATCTTAAGGGAAACGGAAACATCACAACGGGAAGAGTCCGCCCAACCGAAGCCCTTGGAACCCAAGGATGCTCCAAATGATCCAGGATCAGTGTCGCTACTCCCCATTATACCGGTGATGCGGGAAGTCACAGTTGGTCTCGATGAGAACCGGAAACCAAAAACTGTCAGAGCATGGACACACTCAGTCCGAATCGGACGAGTCCACACGCTCGCCATGCTGGACACGGGAGCAGAAACGTCTTTCATCAGCCAGCAATTCTGCACGGCCAATGGTATCAAAACTGAGCCATTAGGACGGAACACCAAAATCCTTGGTGTCGGCGGCCAAACCGCCTTTGTGGTCTCCCATTGCTGCACCGTACCGGTGACATTGCAGGGATATAAAAGCCACCACACGTTCTTCGTCCAACCGACGACAACGGACGTGCAAGTTTTACTTGGGTGCGATTACCTCCACTCCAAGTTTACCCTCATACTGAAGCCCAACGAAGAACGGTAAAGACTTTGGGACGCGGTAAAGACTATCCTGATACCAGAGACACCTGGCCAACGGCCGGTGCGTGATAGAGAACTCAAGGAGAAACTGGTCCAGCGATACAAAACATGGTTCACCGGAGTAAAAATTTTCCTCCAATACCGCGCTGGCCAACTCCTTGCCCTAGAAGAAGGCTGGCGAGAAAAAAGAGGCGTATCACTAACGTGGGCGCATATAGCCGCAAAATTTGGACCATTTGCCCTAGAACTGGACAAACTCCATGAAGAGGGATTATTATGGGAGGATGAACGTCTAGCCCTGTGGTGGGAATACAAAGAGTACCACATGAAAATGCCGAAAGCACTTCAACAGATGTGCTCGGACCTCTTCGACGACATTATAAAACTTCGAAAGAAGTTGGCTCAACACTCTGGCATAACCGCCAGTATATGGACAAAATATGATTTGGCCCTGACAAACGTCAGGACCATACCGGACCCACTGCCAAAAGCAGCACCGCACTAGCGACAAGAGTGCGCTTCAACGAAGGCCCATACCCCGAACAGAGGGGCCATAGGAGGGACACCAGCCAAACGCAGGACCCTTCAACGGAGGAAGTCCAATTGACTTGTCCTCTGTGTGGAGACGGCGCTGAAGCGGTAATACGGGCCATTCAGACCCGTGCTGCTCAACGGTGGACAGGAGGCCTCACCACTCCCTAATAGGGACCGTCTAACCACTTCGGAGGAACCGGACGAACCTGAAAAACAGGAAATCGAAACCGGAGAGCCAGGGAACCGAGAAGCGGATCCCACGACTGAACTGGCACCGACGGTGACCGGCGGCGCGCCAACCTCTAACGAGGACAAAGGTGGGCCAAAGTCAGAGCAGGACGACAAACCCGAGTCTACCGACTTGGACGTTCAGAGCTCAAGCGATTCACCGGATACCGACTCCGACAGCCAATCATCTGAAGAGTCCAGTAACGACGAAGACGACCCGACCATACAACAACTTCGGGCCGAAGCACCCATCATCCGCCGGACCAGACTACAACGGCAGATGGAAGGCCTCAGAGAAGAAAAAGAAGTTGTCTTCGTCCATAAGCGGTACACCATACCAGCCTACTCAACTTGCTGGGTTAAGGTCCGCACATACCGAACCATGGACACAAAGCGTCCAATTTATTTCAATTCGGTAAGACGACCACACCGACATATCTCACCGATCGAGGCGAAGGTAGAAACTCGTCAGGACGAGTACGCGTGGATCCAGGTTTAGAACAACTCTCCACGAGACCAATTCCACCGTGGAGGTGCAAGAATTGGCCATATGTAAAACAGTGACATCTACGCAAAAGTCCGGGCCAGTGTAAAAACGGAACTCCTACCGGAGTCCATTACACCGGTCCAAGTAACCATTAACTTGGACGTGGATCCGAGACAGAAACCTATGTACCTCGGAAGCCAGGACACCAAACGGAGTCTGGCCATGCTCGACGGACCAGTCCAGCATGATGGCAAAAGTTTCACCATACTGGTGTCAAACTACTCGAAAGAGACCCACATACTCCGGAAGGGAGTGGACATGGACATTTTGGCCACCACCTGACCAAGGAGCAAACCGCTCTACTCCGTCAGGACTTAAGGGAACTCAGGGCCATATTCCCCACATCCAAGAAGCCTTACGGCGACGTGAAGGGAGTGACCCACGTCATAAAAATTGGCGACGTTGCACCAATTAAGATGAACCTAACCCGAACAAGTTGGAAGGGACGTGAAGTCATCAATAAGCATGTCCAGGAAATGCTGGACCAAGGCGTGATTGAATCGTCCAATGCAGCGTGGAGTTTCCCAGTGGTTCTCGTCTCAAAGAAAAGGGCGACGGAACCATGGGCACCCGGTTCTGCACAGACTACATTAAGCTGAACTCGGTGAAAATGGAAAAGACAAGACCTTTGATGAATTCAGGCAAGCGTTCAAAAACACGCTCTTCTGCCTGAGGGACGCCGGATTCAAGATAAAACTGTCGAAGTGCGAATTCGGAATGGAAAAATTCCAATTCCTGGGACACATCCTCAGCAAGAACGGTGTCCACACTGACCCAAAGAAGGTAGCGGCTATCGCCGAGAAACTACCGCCTGGGACCGAGCGTCAACTTCGCTCGTTCCTTGGACTCGTCAACTACTATCGGAAGCTCATTCTGGGCTACGCCCAGAAAACTTCAAAGATGTACGAACTGCGGAAGGAAAGTTCGGTCAAGAACGACTGGACTACGAAATCAAGAAGGCCCTAACGGAAGCCCCTATCCTGGCCAAATTTGATGCGACCAAAAAGACCACCATCGAATGCGATGCAAATGGCGCAGGCATCAGAGCCCTACGCAGCCAAGACTCGAAGCCAATCGCCTACGCGAGTCACGTCCAACATGGAGCTGAGAAGAACTACGGCGTGACCGAATGGGAATGCTTAGCCGTAGTGTGGGCCTTCCAGAAGTTTAAGCACTATATCGACCGCATACCTTTCACAGTAAGGACGGACCACAGAGCCCTACCCAATCTGCTCAGAAGCGAGTCTAACCGGCCCGGCATCAACCCTTGTCTTACTCGATGGGCCCTCGCCTTACAGGGACGGGACATCACCATCAAATATAAGCCAGAAACCTTCTGCGAAAACGCCGACGCGTTGTGCAGATGGCTACTCGAACGGGATTACGACAAAGGCCCACATGAAGAGTTGGACCAAGTCCCCTACTTCGAGGATTATAAAGACGAGATCCCAGCACGCATCAATAAGGTGCGAAGGCTGCTAGTAACGGACGAGGACCCAACAAACGATTGGGAAACCCCTCTCCTTCCTGATTGTAACGCAATTAGTGATTGGAACGAATTCAGCACGGGGACATACGGGTCATACGGGTCATTAATGAACCGGCGCCCAAACCGGACGAACCGGACCCCGTAGTCCAGCCATGCCCAGAAAAAGTTACGGACCGCACCGCGCAAGAACTGCGACGGTTGCAACACCGTGATCCAACTTTGGCCAAGAAAATCCACGAGTTGGAACATCAGACCGAAATGGACAAACGGTCCAAACTTCCGGAACAGTACCAGATGGATAAAGATGTGCTCTACCGACTCACCGAAATCAATGCGAAGCTCGAAAGGAGACTCGTCATTCCACTTTTCATGCGGAAAAACATTATCCAGTCCCTCCATGACGGAAAAACAGGGAACCATTTTGAATACCGCAAGACTACTGAGGCCGCCAAGCTTAGGTATTACTGGCACCAGTATGGCACCAGTATGAGCAGCGACATACACGACTACATAGACCGATGTCAGACGTGCATATTTGGCAAAGTACGAGTACCGCGGCGAGCTACCTACGGTAAGCTGCAACCGACTGATGCTGTTGCACCTTGGTACCTCGCCTTCGCAGACTTCAAGGGACCATTACCGGTGACCGAAACGAAGAAATACCGGTATATTGCCGTAGTGGTGGACCAGATGACGAAATTCACCATAGCCCGGCCAACCAAAACAAACTCGGCCAAGCAATCTGAAACGTTCTTTGTCGAAGTTGTCCTCAGATACGGAATGCCACACATAATTGGGGCATGCATTTTACGGCAAAGTCCTTCGCCAAAGTGGCGAAAATCTTTGGCATCGAACAAACCTTCGTGGTTTTATTTTGGCATTGCAGTGGAGCGGTTGTCTTCTTGTTTTAGAATGGTGAATTAGTTTTCTATTAACAGTGTACTTGTGTTCAGTTATGCAGCGTTAATTTTGTTTCCGTTACGGTTATTATTTGTCTGTTGTTTCAATATTGCTCCTGACTATCAAAATTCGAGCCGATTAAATTTGCGCTGATAACTTTCCAACGTCCAAAAATGTGTATAATAACATGATTCGCTACAGCACCCGATTAATATAAATATATATTCTAATGAATTCGCAGTAATTATTGGCAGTGACCTGATATGCTAAACACACATTACACCGTTAAAAAGTACATTTTTGCACCAGTACAAAATATGTCCGAAAAAAAATACTAAAAATTGTCGTTGAGCGAACAAATTTGTGTCTTTCAGGATAAAAAACGTACCGATTTAAGGGATATTGTGAATCACACGTATCATGTGTCACCGAACGTACGAAAAAAGTGCTGAAAAAATATTACTGGCACAAAAACTTTTACTAGGGCGCGGGCTCTAATTCGATAATTACGGTATGCTCAACGGGTTCAGTTACTGCAATGAAATGACACCACTTTTAGATCAGCCGCTGCCTGCTCCCTGCCCGACACCGGACATGTTACGTAGAACATCGAGCATCGTGTGCGTCGTTTTCTGCTCCCCCTTCATGTAGCAGCTACAATAGTTCAGTACCGGTGCACACAGGACAGTAGTCGTTCATTTCAAGAACCTGTTCATGCACAACACTTTGCGAAACCGGTTTATCAGCCGGGGTGCAAAACAGTCACTGCATAACAGAAACACAACTTTCAATTGGTGCGAGCGCTATTGAAGCTCTGAACACCACAATTTGAAGCGTTTATCACAAAACCATCCTAGACATTACTAAAGTGGTTATGCATGTAAAACTAAACACGATTAAAATTGACTAAGAAATGATTCCATGAAAATGAACTGTGAAGCGAAAGCTTGTGAGACGACACAGCGCAACATAAAATCCATCCGACGCAGAATTCTCCCGCGTATAATAATTATATAGGCAACAATACAGCGCAAATAGCTTCGACAAAACCGTTAATGCTCGCAGGCGGCAGTAACGTATGTGTGACAAACAGAAATCAAATGATCCAATGGAAAGCCCTCTTGTAATATGTTTGAAGTCTAGCGGATCATAACCGACATCGACCCGTGCAGTTATTGTTAATTTCGGGTGTACAACTCCAGGCCGGTACTTATGGTGATTCGGCTGCCCAACCAATTTACCGCGTTTATCCGGTTCATCTGAAGGGCTTTGTGATCAATTTCTTTAATGTCCAATTAACTGACGCACTACAGGAATAAAATACATAATATTTACCTATTACCTACCTATCTAGTTTCTAAGTTATTAAATATGAAAAGAAAGAAGTTATCTGAGCTGAGGCGCGTAATCGGCATCCAAAGTTCTCGAACTCGCTGTTTTTTTGGTATTTCTAAAGCCTGTGACTGTGACTGGGTGGGAGTGAGAGTTTATGTGACTGGGAGCTTCTGTGACTGTGACAGTCTGTGACTGAGCCAGACTGGCGCTGGGACCGATTGGGACTGTGATCATTTGGGACTGGGACTAGTGTTAGTTACTGTGAAGTATTGGGTACGTACTGTATAATACTACATTAATGTTTATTGATGTTTACTGTAACTTGTCCACGAACGTACTAACTGCTAATGCAGTTGTACGTGACAACAGCGTATATTCGTATCTAAGCAAGTCAGGACATACAAGGTTATAATTATGAGAATACACGCGACCGACAAGGTCGCAACATATACCACAACTCCTCCCCAAGTTCAAAGAAACTAAAACTAGGAATGAAGGTTATAGAATAGAAAGGTCATAGTAACTGTTCGACTTCTCCACGGAGACATACTTCGTTCCATGGGATTCACAGGCTTTCTCAATGTGACCTTTACGCCCACATTGATTGCATGTGGCGTTTCGGAATTTGCACTCGTCGCGTTGGTGGCTGTCGGAACCACAACTGCGGCATTTGTAACCGGATTTTGGGGTGCGACGGAACGCCCTTTGCCTTGTACCTTGTGGACATCAATGTCGGCATCGCCACGGGATCCGGACTGCTTCGCTTCGTTCCGGCCCGCTTCGTACTTCTTTGCGCGTTCTAACGTTTCTTCGAACGATTGAAGGTCATGGGTCATCAGGTGAGAGCGGGTACTCTCGTTCTGGAGACCGTTGATGAAGGCCGCGCAGAGGTTATCGTCCAGCACTGTGGACGGGAACTGGCAGTAGGCTGTCGCGTCTTGGAGCTTTTCCGAAAAGTCTTCTAAGGTTTCACTGGAAGTCTGGGTCACCTTGAAGAATTTTGCAATTTGAACTTTCCGGAAGGTGAAGGAAGTGTAACGGATACGTAACTTCTCGAGCAGCTGATCCAATGGGAAATCTTTAGGTTTACCCGGAAGGCATACGGCCACCAGGCGCTTGAATGGTTTCGGACCGAGGGAGTCCAGCAGAAGGTTGACCTTCTTGTCATCAGGGACGCCGGTCATCTCAATGTAGTTTTCGAACTTCTGGTACCATTCTGTCCAAGTGAGTTCATCCGGATTCCACTTTTCCAGCCGTAGAATGTGCTGGGCCATTAGTGGGCTGGATGAGGATGTCACGCGCTGGTTGGTCAAGGATCCGGAAGTACGGGTGGAACTGGGTGGAATAGTACTTGGGGAACGGACCCGCCCGACGGAGCGGTAAGGGATGGATCGGAAATGCTGGTAGATGTAGTAGTAGTAGCAGCGGAAATGGACTGAGGATTTACTGGATTAGTAGACGTAGGAGGTTTGGGCGGCATACGGCCCGAATGAGCTCAAAAAGCTTCACGCCAATGTGAAGTATTGGGTACGTACTGTATAATACTACATTAATGTTTATTGATGTTTACTGTAACTTGTCCACGAACGTACTAACTGCTAATGCAGTTGTACGTGACAACAGCGTATATTCGTATCTAAGCAAGTCAGGACATACAAGGTTATAATTATGAGAATACACGCGACCGACAAGGTCGCAACATATACCACAGTTACTTAACGCAAAATCGGCGGAAAGCGCACTTCCGTTCAGTTTTGAATAGAAGTTTTTTCTAATTCTTACATCTTCAAGGCATTAATGGTCGTCATCAATAAAAAAATTTTACACCTAACAAAATTTGAAGTTGAGAAGCTATAGAAAGTTAGGAAACCCCTTTAGGAAAGAGAAAATGTAGCCTTTTGCTGCGCTATATAGAGTCGTATTTAGAAGAATAAATCTAACAAGGACTGGACAGTACCAGGCCCCAGTAATTTGTTCAATGTTCATGCACGCCAGTCGTTCTTCCTCGCCGGTCGTCCTCAGCACGGCCGACAATGATGCTGTTTCAGAGTAGTGTCCGATCTCATGTTTTCCGATTATTGTTGTTGTGGCAATTTGTTCCGTTACACTTTGCCTTGTTGCGATTGTAATAAAATAAGACTGTACAGTTGTAAGAAAGAATAGGCCAGATTTTCAGTTTAGTCTCTCCATGCTTTCCCTTTTACTCCATTTTATTTTGAAAATTTTATTGAAAATTTCACGAAATTAAAGTTAAATTTATTGCTGCTGGAGGTTTTGGGTTTTAATGCCGGGAGACTAAGCGACAGTAAGGCGAAAGAAAAAAGCATATAAGTACGAAATATATGAACATAAGTAATTATTACTGTCCTGTTCTTTCACGCAGCTATAAGAATAGTTTTCTGGCAGTAATTCCAGGACCTGCGCGCCTGGGTAGGGACTGAATCGCAATAAAGGTTGTATTTTTCTTTTGGCGAGTTACATGATGAACTACACTAGTCTCCACAGACCGCTAATTAAATTCAAATGATAACATTTCAGCGTTTTTAAACAGAAACGTTTTTAAGAAACATAAACCTCTGTACTATTGTATTGGGGTTAAATGTAAGATTCATAACTCAAACGACTGCCTCTAACCAATTTTTGAAAGTTCATTTTACTGTAGCCTGCTTAGCAATTGAACTAGTGATTAGCGCCGGGTCCTATTTTTTCCTTCTTTTCGGCATTTGATGTTTGTATGTCGATAAGGAGTGGTCGGTTGCATCTAGAGATGCCAAACGATAAACCTAATGGATAACGTATAAGATGCCGGTGGTCATCGACTGCTTAGTGCTTACAACAGTCTAACCTGGTCAATAACAGTCTAACCTGTTTCAGCTGCATAAACTTGAAACCGGTTAGCGGCGTGCAAAGCAATTACAAGTAACATAAGGAAAGGATAATTTTTCGGCCTGCGCCAATCCATTCGCAATTTCGTAGAGTAATGTTTGTTCGAGGCCGCGCAGCTAGAAGCTCTTCTTTTTACAACCGCAGTTCTTTGACGAAGAAACTATATCGTTTCGATTTGTCGTGTCCACCTTCAATTGTTTGCTACCGGTTTATAAATTATTTTTTCCCCATGCAGAAGCATTGGAATCGTACAGAGAATTTCGCTTTTTTATTCTACAACCATGGGCTCGCGAAGTTTTGTTTGTCGAGAAAAACCTAACGTTGGCTTGTACGGAAGTCGAATAGTTGAGGAAAACGACTGTAGCTGTTACACAACGAGGGCTTACCCCCATACGGTATGTAACAAACATGGGCGGCTATTTTTAATAATTTTAGTGTAACGCGAATTCTTTCAAGTTATGGAGTTTTTGACGTAACTTGGAAGCAACTCGCTAGCGAAAAAGCCTCACTCTAACGTAACTTTATAAAAATTACATATACTGCTTAGCTAGCGTAACTCTCAGTACAGCTTAATATTCGGTTCTACTTCCACGAGCAGCTGAACTTGTAGCGTAACTAGCATGCGCACAGTAACTGTTAACTCTAATGGTGGGTGAAATTTTTATAACTGCCCAGGTCTGGCAGTACGTAATACGTGTGTGTACCGTGTGCGTAAGTATCTGGAAATTTACTCCCATCGTTGATAAGTTTAAGACTTAAGAGGATCCCTATGAGATGATTTTCATGTAAATGTGTTGTCGATCTTAATATCAGCTTGTATGAAATTTTTCGGGCTTTCTGGTGGTACCATGGATCATGGATGTATTGTACTGTGATAATAAGGTTTTAGTAAAAAAACACCCCGGGTCAGCTTATACGTAAACCGACCACCCCACCACTGTCTCACTGACACGCCATTTTTACTATTCTCCTGCAGCTAGATAAAACTTTAAATTCCATAATAGATTATTCCGTCGCCGTCCGTGCTGTTCGTACACTGCTTCTCAAAATTTAGTATTTGAAAAAGAACAAAAACCGGACAAACATAACCGAGAATGTTCCGAGTCTGTGGGACAATTCGCAAGTCAGCTTTTCGGGAACTGACCTCGGCGGTGGTTTAGGCGTAGGTATGTTGTAAAATACCGCTACCGGTGGGCGCGGCTGCCTTTCTTGCTGAACTGACGGCGATTTGTAGAAGCCCGATTTTTCGAAATTTACTAGATATTTCGTTTTCACTGAAAACGAAATATCTAGTAGACAATGCTATTCGAGAAACGCAACGGAGTAATTGGTCTAACGCGCTGGGGCGTGGCTAAAGTGCCGCAGTTTACAGTGAACTTAGCCACCGCGCTTACCGGGTAAACCCTGCACCATACAATCTGAGGCGTTGTAGTCAAGTTGGAGCAAAGTTATGGCGAACATTTTACGAAACTTTTATATTAAACACCTAGTACGCCATCATTGGAATATAAAAGATAAATATTTGCCGTACATTTTGATGCATTCGCGAAGCGATCATGACAGTGTACCAAAGTGCTACTTGTTAGCACTATTTAAGTCCGTTGTGCGTAGGATGCGTCCGGTGGGATAGAGGGCGGGCTTAAACCAATTACTCCATTGGACATGGCATCTGTAAAGTTTTCTTCGAAGACTATTAAATTATTTTCTCCGCATGTCGGCGCATGGTACGTGGGATTTAGAATGCAGAACGTCTGATAAATATTAATGCAAATCCACCGCAGTGCAGCAGCCAAATGATGTTCGGTTTAAACGCGTGTGGTGGGTTGGATGTGGCACGAATTGCATGATACAGTACAAGAAACAACCTCGGCTTCGCCTCCGCGTTTCTTGTGGTCCCTTGTCCACGGCCGGTTTATTCAAATGATTTCGATCAGTTAACATCTTATTCCTTCAGCGAAACAATATTATGGTCCGAAAATAGCGCTAAAATGCAGATATGATAAAAAGTGAATTTATGGCTTTTGTGCCCTCGGACGCATTCAGTTGGACTCAGAAGGGAATTTTTGTTAACTTTTCCATCCCGACTCTGAGTCTACCAGCCACCAGGTACTAAATTTCAACGTAAAAAGGCCTGCAATAAATGCTGGTGGTAGTTCGGTCACTCAATCACCTAGCGGGCTTCGTGCGCTGGGCAGTAAGGGAAGATCGGTCACCTGCTCATCTTGCGGGCTCCATGCTCTGGACAGTAGCGGTGGTTCGGCCACTCGTTCGCCTACCGGGTTTTGTGCTCTGGACGGAGGAAGGAGTTTATAGATAAGACCGTCTGGCCGGGTTTTGGAATATGGGCATTCGGAGTATGGAAATGGTTTTTGCTGCCTCTGTACGGGAAAGCTAGGTTCGTGTATCCCTTTTTATTTTTTGTGTAACAAAGATCTAGAATCTAGATACCGTATAATTATTCCGCATTATACGGAATAAGTTACGGACCTTATATGCTTATTAATTAATCACGTCCTTAGTTTCGCTCGGACTGCAATGACAGGTCAGCCCGTTTGAATGATTACTATGGTCAGTTTCTTTTACAGTTGCCTTGAAATGGCTCTTAACGAGCGTTTTTATTCCTAAGTGAATTTGAGTACCGTTCATTATTCAGTCACTCAGCTCTCAATAAAATGCTACTGTGAACCATTGTATTTGGCACCATTTGCTGCTATTTAAATATAATTATTAATGGTAATAAATAATTTTGAATTATTCAAGTCGGATTATCCGATCGGATTCGGATATCCGATGGTCGGATACGGATCGGATTCGGAAAGCCGAAAAGATAAAAATTCGGATACGGATCGGATTTGGATTTCTTAAAACTTTCTCGGATCGGATTCGGATTGTGAAATTGAATCCGATGCCCATCTCTAGTCACCAGTTTGCCTCAGAAAAAAATTTTTCCATGAAGGTAGAGTACCTTAACTGAATAACCGAACAAAATATCGGTCTGTTTCTATGAAGTGTAGCGGGTCCGTTCAACCTTTGACAGCTTTTTAGTTTCATTGGATAGAGCAGTGTTTGCTCCATATAAAAATTTAGGTAAAAGTAAAACCAACATTATACAAAGCTATGAATTTTTTATCTATTCTTTGGAGAAAATGGGTGGAGTTGGAGAATGTCCCGGAAACCCAAATTCAAAATATTTGTCCATTCCGTAAAATTGCTATTATTCGACTACACGGGCATAACCGGGGGGTAGGCACAAAATTCGGGCACACATGACTCTCGTAAAATTAGCTAGCGGGTAGCTAGCGGGAAACTGACAAGGTTTAAACTTATTTCTGCGAAAGCAATCATTTAGCTACACTAATCAACCGAAAACGACTTACCTATCTGGTTGCAGCCTGTTTTGCAGCAAAAACATTTCCCTAAAAAAAGTGAAAAAATCTGGCAAAAAACTTGCAGTTTTTCGAAAAGTCATAAAAGTGCGGGATTTACACAGCCCATTCAGAGCATGCACAATGCCAGCAACTCATTTTTCTTTGAAAATCAGAAGTTTTTCGCCAAGTAAATCAGTTAAAAAAACCAAAGTACTGCTTGCTGGAAAAAAGTGTCACCAGGTTCAAAAGTCTGCGACTGGACCAAAATAGGACCGCGACTTCCACCACGCAGTAAAATAAATTAAACAAATATTTAAAAACAGATAAGTATTTGAAAATACATAAAAACTTAAAAATTAATAACATCGATATTCATTATAACAATATGTGCATAATAACAATATGTATATTCATAATAACAATATGTATTCATAATAACAATATTATGTAATAGTAATAATAATAATATTAATAGTATGAGTATAATATACAAGTATCGGTGGCGCTAGGGCGCCACCAGCTGTGTTTTAGGTATGGAAACACGAAAGAGATCACGAAGAGATCACGAAGTTGGTTATATACATATTTCAAAGACATTAAACTGCGTAAAAGCGCGGCGCCATCAGCATTACTACATGTCAAGCTGTTTAGATATTTAGTAATTTTAATTACTCAGATATTTAGGTATCAAAATATTTAGATATTTTGATATTCTGAAGCATTAAGGTGACGGCCCAGCTTCGCGGGGCCGGTTCGGATTTTGGGGTATTTAGAAACATTTAGAAACAATTAGAAACGTTTAGAAATACTTAGAAGTATTTAGAAATAGAAAGATATTTAAATGTTTAGATTTTTGAACAGTAAGATATTGAGGTATTTAAATACTTTAAATACTTTCGAAATTCTGAAGTGCAAAAAATTGGAGGTAAAATGTGTACTTGGATATGTTTTTTAATATGTGAATACTTATGTAGACAGTGAGTTAACGTGATATGTATTCAGATAGTTAGTTTAGTATTTGGAAAAATGGATTTCAAAACTCTGGTCCGACTAGAAATATTCAAAAATATTCACTGAACAAACAGAGGGGCATAAACTGCTTAGTGTTTTACCTTTGTATATACATAGTTCGCATCATTTTTTGTACATGTTGCTAAGTTGCAAATCTAGATGTTTTGATCATTCTAGATGTTTCTAGAAATTTCTAAATGCTTGAGAGCTAAAGTACCGAAAACTTAAAAACGTTTTTATAACGTTCTGAAAGACTGAAGAATTTTTTTCAAAGCGTAGGTGACCCCCTTTGATGGACACTAGATTTTTTAAAAATATGAACGGTTCTGAAACGTGAACCTTGAATTAGGAGGTAATTTCGCGAAAAAAAGGACGTAAGAGTAAGTATATGAATCTATAGATATGAATCTATAGATATTAACATATACTGTATTATTCACTTATGTATTTATATGGAAATGGCTATAGGCACCCCCTTTCACCCCCGTTATCTAGAGGCACCCCCTTTCGCACCCCCGCAGACTATATGCACCCCTTTTCGATTAATCAATCTCTGCACCCCGTTGCGTGCGAAAGCTATAGGCACCCTTATATTGTCCGTTGATGCTATGTTTTTAAGGTCGAATTTCTTGACCTTGGAATGCAGAAAGTCGTTGCACTACCGGCTCCAAAATTTTTTCTCTCGTAATATGAACTGCTCTGTAATAATAACGTTGTAATTTCTGTCAAAATCTGTAACAAATAAAAGCAGAAAAAACTGCTCTGTAATAATAATGTCTGACAGTTCTGTAATAAGTACCCATCCGAAGATATATATAATCCACGTCTGAGAGTGACCTGGTCTATCCAAACGCTATCCAAGAAAACGACTTTAAGGGCAGTTATTCGGCCTTTTCGCATTCGAATCTACTTTCAACCAATGTCAAACTGTCAAAGAGATAGGCTCCAAAGTTCCAGAAATTTGTAGTCAGACGATCTGAGAGCGGCCCGTTGTCGGATGGAGTGCCTAGTACTCG